GGGGCGGCGTTGCTGCCTTGCCTAGGGCAGCAGCAAAGGTAAATACACCGCTGGATGTAGGGCCAGCTTTACTGAAACATGAACACATTCAGAGGCTTCACAGCGGTCATACTCTTGAAAATTAGTCAAAATACTGAAACCAAAACGTGAAGACATTTGTAAACTAGAGAAAAACAGAAACAGTGTGACGCCTGATACTCATTTTGTTATAGTACGCATTTGAAATCACTTGTACCGGCTGCTGTGTCATCCGACGACATGTAAATTGATGCAACAATTACACAAAGGAACTGGTAGCTGCAAACTATAGGATTTAAACTAAGGTCAGGGCAGTGACTGAACACACTTTGCAAAATCATGGTTTGCCAAGGAAAAACTCCAAACTTTATATCTTTTTAGGGCCTGTTCACATGAGATCAGGTCCTGATCAGCAGACGTGGAGCTGCTGATGCATTGCGTTTTTGATGCGTTCCAGCATCAGTATGTTAGTATGTTAGCTGCAGGGCAGTGCGTTTTTGACGCGTTTGCGTATCCTTACCTTGCGTTTCCGGACCTGACAAAATGTGACATGCAGTATTTTTTCTGTCGTAAGCTGAACGGACTGCGCACGTGAGAACTGGAGCCCATAAAACACATAGGGATGCATTTTGAGTGCAGCAGCGTACGGAGCCGGTCAGCACACAAAACGGACGTTGTGTGAACAGGCCCTAAGCCCTCGTTCACACCTAAACGTTTTGTAGCGCGTTCTACGCTCGACGAACGTTCTACAAAACGCTCAAACATCTAAATCCCATTGTATTCAATGGGTCTGGTTCACACCTTTGCGTATTTCAGCCTGTCCCTAACGCGCTACAAAACGGCCAACGCCTGAAAAGGTACATGTACTACTTTGGGCCGACTTTGTTGCGCATTTCCATTGGGATACAGCCAAGTAGCCCTCGGAAACGCGCGTTAGTTGCGCAATTTTTTTATAGCGAATCGCGGTAAAAATACCGCGCAACAGACGAGCATATGCAATACGCCTAGGTGTGAACCAGGCCTGATAGATGTCACCAGGACAGGTGACCCCATATATAAATGTCACCTCACCGGCAGTTCCGATCTTAAAAAACTGTGTAATAATATGCGCAGTGCTTTACAATACAAGGAAGACATTACAGTTACAATACAGTTCAAAATAAGATGGTTAGGAGAGCCCTGTCCATGAGAGCTTACAATCTAAAGAGAGGGGCAAGTGATACAAGAGGTGGTAGCTTTGTGGGGATGAGTTGTCTGAGAAAGTGATAGCACAGTGTTTAGTTTGAGGTCCGATAGACTTCCCTGAAGAGATGAGTTTTCAGGGATCGCCTATATGCAGAGAGTAGAAGATAGTCAGATAGGTTGGGAGGTAGGGAGGTTGGGGTAGGGAGTTCCACAGGAAGAGAGAGACCTAGAGACCGGGAGGAGGGGTTTGCATGGAAGGGGCAGTGCACCCTCTCTAACATATAGAAGTGATTGAAGCAGCTGTGAAACACTTCTATTTAACAGCCTAAAGCAAAATGATCAAAAGTAAACAAATTTGCAGCGAGTTTCTTTGTATCCCAATACTACCGCATCATTATACTTAAGGCGGCAGCAGCAAAAGGGTTAAAAAGGAACCTGACACCAAGATAAACAATTTCCTGATAGATGCTGCCATTGTCTGACTCACAGGCTGAATGAAAATTCCCGAGCAGTGAAGCAGCACTGAAAGTGAGGTGACTGCCTTGAAACGAATATGTGGCTTGAAAAGCTGGCCATACACTCCTGGAAAAAAAACTGCTCAAATCCCCACCAGGCTTTTGGATTCTGACAGGAATTTTGGAGCACCAATTGCTGACTTGCTTTGCAAAGTACAAGCTCCTCTTATCCTGGTTGCATTGGTAGGACAATGGCTAAAAACTACTTTGTGTCATATTAGGTTCCCCGATACGTCACACCTTGTATGCTTGATCAAGGTCAGTCATGATTAGAACGTGGCCGGCCCCTGGAGCTTGCACAAAGATTACGGCTTCCACACACAAGCCATAGTGTAGTTTACAACCTAATGCTTGTACAGCAGCCATGGATGAAATCGCAAATAGCAGGGTATGTAAACGAAGCAAAATGGCAGCACATTAGCGTAGTGGTCAACGCTTCTGCCTTACAGCACTGGGGGTCCCTGGCTCAAAATTCTAGACACAGTCTGCATGGAGTTTGCATGCTCTCCCTGTGCTTGTGTGGGTTTCCTCCGGGTACTCCGATTTCCTCCCACACTCCAAAGACATGCTGGAAGGTTAATTGGCTAAAAGGTACCCATACACCTGTCAGTTTTCGCTTGGAAATCATCCACGAATGGTCTTTCAAACGCTAATCGATCAGTTGATGGGACACCAACGATTTTAATTACTGTACTCCTGGCCGAATTTCCTCGATCGGTCAGGCTGGAATCTTTTTTTGAATTGAGCAAAAACGATGAATTAGGGGCCTTTTGGTACGGAAAAAAAATGGCAACAAGAACACTGCACATACGCAAACGAAAATCCGTTCTGTTGATCGACAAACTTCAGTGAGTTAGTATTGCTAACGAACTATTATCGAAATTGGTCTGTGCATGATGGGGTATTCGAGCGGAAATCAAACGAGGATTCCTGGCAGCAAACGGAAATTTCCGATCAAAAATCTAGAGGTGTATGGGCAGCTTTAGTCGTGCGTGTGTGTGTGTGTGCAATAGGGATTGTAAACTCCTTGAGGGCGGGGGCTGATGTGAATGGGAGTAAATAAAACATTCATATGTATTACTGACATACCATATATCTACTTACTACATGAGCCATTTCATACTTTCCTTTTATTTCTAATACTAACAGTTTATATTTCCCTTCCTTACAACCATGGCTCGCATTTTTGTGCAAAATTTCCTAAATGTCAT